AAACGAGTCATGCTGCGAACGAATTGAACAAAGTTTAAACGCGTCCTTTCTGAGCCGTCTGAAGAGCACCGAAAGAACTGTTGATGTTATTCTCTGCTGATGTTGTGTTATAATAATATTGAACGAGGGGCGATGTCGGAATCTTTCCGTTAATGCTTTAGTCGATATTCGACGGCAAAAATATTGAGATGATTCTTTTATATTTGCGTAACGTTGTCGCTATGTAAAAGCGCACTTGGAAAATGTTGGTAATATCGCTATAGACGGCAGTGCATTATAGATGATACTTGTAGGAATAGTACGGACTCGTAGGCATATAGTCCGTCATACTTTCGACAAGAGTAAAGCGCACGTGTCATTATGCGAATAGAGGCGCAACATGCGACCGTTCCTCGCGGTTGAGCATTCATTATGGGAGAAAATTTTAGCGAAGGAGATGCTCGCGCGGAAGGGAGGAAAACCTTAATTTAGATCCGCCGTCGCGCAATTGACAAAAAGCGGAAAGCCATCGGAGTAAAGCTACAAAGGGATGATAACGAGAAAGGCGATTCCGGGAAGACAGAATGAAGAAAGGACGACGGGTGACGGGTTCACGGGCGAGGGAGGACGGGGGGGTGGGAAGGCAGCGCACGACAATAAGATATATTATAGGGGTTGGCGCCGGGGTTCTCCATCCACCCCGTTTCTCGCGGCACGCATAATCGCGGGATAAGCGGAAACCTTGGGGAATATGAATATACGGGAGGGGGGGGGGCCACTTTAAACGTATTCAGTTTCAGCCACGCGGGGTCATCGATAGGGATTTAAAGAATTTAAAGAGATCGACCGAAAGCTAATGGATTTCATAAGCATAAAGGATTCGCGATATTTTTGTTTGCGATGTTAAATGCATCAGTAGATTTCCGATACGAGCTTCAATCGCAGATATTTAACGTTGATGACATATAACATTCTGTCATGGGAATAAACGATTGAAAAAGCCGATAATTGCGACGGCGAGGAGCGATGAATGCGTAAAAACGTCGACGCCCTTCGTACGTTTTTGCTTCACTTCTTAAGGATCGAGCCTGTACAAAGTAGAAAAGATTA